TACGCAAGCAGTGAGTTATGTTCAAACATGGGCTTTCAATTAGTTGAAAGCCCATGGTTCAAACAAATACAAAAGTATTAACATCAATCATGTATTTAAAGAATTTTTAAGACCAAGCTTGATACTTTATGGATGGGCTAATGGAACCATCTTGGTATCAAATGATGCTCGATTGAAAGAAACTTATTCGCTTTTCCTACCCCAATCGAATGATTTTTGATTTAGAGAATGCCATTCGCTTTGTCCACCTTTTAATAATGTCTGAATGATGAAACTGACCTTATTGCCTACCTTAAGGCTTTTAGCTATGTAATTCTACTAGAGAAGAATTGACTTTGCTTCCAGGCAGAAAAGAGATAAAAAGAGATGGAGTCATTGCAGCCTCATTCGCCACTTGAGTAGACCAACCGTTGCGTAATATAGACAGGTAAACAGGGCCGACAATATTTATCTGTGTGAATAATTAAGTGAACTATTGTGTTGCCCTATTCCATGACATTCCAAGAATTGGCAAGAGACTCGAGTAACCACTGGATTTATCCTACAAGTCTTGTACTTCATACCTGATACCTATTGTGTGCTGTAAACAGGCAGAGTCATTTAAAACTCAGATCTCTTTCTAACAAGAAGCTGCCATCAATTATGTAAAGATATATGCAGAGGGTGCGTGGTTATATAATTCATTCGAACATGACTGTATTCACGCCTTCTATAAACTGTAAACAAAGTCAACATTTCACCCGGGGTATATTCGCGAACAAAATCCCTGGTAATACGTGCAATGTGTGACGTCATAACGGCGGGACGTAGTAATTGCGGTTCATAATGAATATTAAAGATTACTGATAGACAGTTACTCTGGCATAGCCGAAAAGAGCACACATTCCAACGTCCATATTGTTCACCAGGAGCCGTCACCGTGAACAAAAAACATTGTGAGGAAAATTATGAAGTAAACATGTTGCATACGTTTTTGTGCATGTGTGGTTGATACCACATTTTATCATATATTTAAATGAATAAGTGAATTAAAATGTACTACACCCGCATAGAAATTTCTATACAGGATTTTTATATCTATACATGCATTTTTTGACCAAATAGAACTTTCTATACTGGCCATCAAGCAAAATTATTTTTCTGCGCCGCATAGAAATTTCTATACAGCATTTTTATTTATCGATCTTTTCCCTATAGAAATTTCTATACCGGCAACCAAAATTTATATTTACACCTGCATAGAAGTTTCTATACGAACACTTGTTTTAATTAGAAAGGCATAGAAATTTCTATACGGGGAGAAATGTTTTTCTGGTAACAGAATTAGTATTTTCCGACGGCCTTCACATAGAAATTTCTATAGAGGTATTCAGTTTTAAATCCTCTGCTTAATCGGTAGAGAAATTTCTATACCGATTACCAAATGTTCATCAATAACAAAATTAATATTTCCAGCCCCATCCGCATAGAAATTTCTATACGAAAAGTCAACGGAGTCTTTTGTATAGAAATTTCTATCTGAGGATAGTGTATTTGAAAATATAGTTTGAAGTTACATAGAAAATTCTATACGATAAGAAGAAACACAATTTTACTAGACATTAACATGAATATGTATTGATAAAATGATTTTACCTTTATCTTGTTTGATGAAATATTCATATACTTTGTATAAATATTGTAAATCTAATATGATAATAAAACATTGACGGTTGAAATACTTGAAATGCACTGCTGTTTTTACATTTTTGGGTTTACAAAAAGGGACTAAACGGTTCATTCTCTTTTTAAATGGTCACGACTTATTGTCAATCATTACATTAAATACATATATTGCATCTAATGTGAGATGGATATTGCATAATAAATACATATATTGCACTAAATGTGAGTAGCATGTTGCATATGGTCAAATATTACAATAAATACAAATATTGCACTAAATATGAATTGCATAATGCATATGGTCGAAGACAGATATTACAATAAATAATGTATATATTGCTCTAAATATGTGAGTAGCATGTTGCATATGGTCAAATATTACAATAAATATGAATATTGCACTAAATGTGAAATACATAATGCATATGGTTGAAGACAAACATTACAATAAATACATATACTGCACTAAATGTGAGATGCATATTGCATAATAAAAACATATATTGCACTAAATGTGAGTTGCAAGTTGTCAGATATTGCAATAAATACATATACAACAGCCTCATTACTGGTGCGTTTGTTTACACCTAGAAAGAACTTTTGTTTTGTCAGTTTGACATATTGAGTTCACAGGTTAACCACATGTCAAACATTTACTTATTTCACTCTGGAAAATCAGAAAATTTAGATACATCTTTCGGTATAAACACTCGTGCGGAGTTCTTATATGGAATAGAGGTATTCTCAATTTTAGTCATATACAAGACCTTTATACTATTAAAATTGTACGTTTTGAGATATGAACAGTTATTTTCAAGGTCAAAGGAAGATGTATTGCATTTCTAACATACTCCTTGCAGGCATGTTAAAATGATTTTGTCAGTTGCTATATATCGCTCAGTTGTCTGTAGGGAAATAGGCTAATTGAATTTGTTTATTAACAAGGGAGTTCTTGAATAATTATTTTAGCGCTGTTTGATTGGCACTAAATACATGTAAGTCAATTTGTGCACCATCGTTAAATCGAGCAATGACTTTAAATATTTAACTATGCATGTAGAGTACTAGTACACAACGTGTTGTTTTCGTGGCAAGAGGGTTGTCTAAATATTTAAGAAGGGTCGCAGACTGGCACCATTTTACCATTTGCATAACTTCATCTACCTTTTAAGCTTTTCTCGTAGCCTATTAGTGTGAAATAGATTTATCAATGTCGTTGAATGAAGTTTGAAAGACAATGCAGGTGTAGAGTCTTTTTGATTTCTATACTTCTATTCTGTTTATCTTATTTATCAGAATCAATATGCATTGATGTTAAGGTCATCTGCATGTAATCGATCGGTTTGAACTTTCTTATTCTTTAAAGGCCCCATATAAAGTTTAAACCACGTAAATTATATAGTCCTACTCAGTGGGGTTCACTGTATACAAAATTCTGCGGGGGTGGGTCCTAAGCTGAACCCTCAGATATCTATGTTCTCATACCAATCTGTCAAATTTCAATGTGTTCCCACACCAACCAAAATAACCCACACAATTTTATCAAAACGCGCTATGTTCAACATTCCAATTTAATTCCAAAAGTTGATTTTGAAGGATTTTTTACAAAATTGTGAATTTATTTCAAATGAAATTTTAATTGTCACACACATGCATTATTAAGTAATTATTTACAACAATCCATAGCATGCATCCTTGGTCTTACCTATTTTGTGTTGAAAAAATCTAAGAAAATGGTTGAAAATAAGCACGAATTAAACTCCTAAGCGCAGGAAAGTTTTTTAGAGAAAAACATTTAAGATTTTAATTCGCAATGGCAACAGGAAAAATGCCTTCGCTTAAATAAGTCATAAAGAATACAATGGTGCACAAATACGAATGTTCAAAACATGAATCTTAGAAAATTGGTTGAAAATAAGCAAGAATTTAACTCTTAAGCGCAAAAAGTTGTTTAGTTAAAAACATTTAAGATTTTAGTTTTGATTATAAAGAATACAATGGTACACAAATACTAATATTCAAAACATGATAAGAACTCATTTTCAATCTAGATGGCAGATAACAGTATTGCTTTATTTTGCCCAGGATAATAAGAAGAATGACCAGTCGACTCATGGTGGACACCGAGAAGATAATTATTTAAGATATTAAGATAATTTGATATAATTTAGGATTTTTCTCAAGAAAGCAGATAACAATATTGCTTTAATTTGCCCAGGATAATAAGATGATGACCAGTAGACTCATGGTGGACACCGAGAAGAAACATAAGCCGTCCGATATTATCTATACTCGCCACAAACAGGGAAAGTAAACAAGATACGTAAATGATAAGTCAATCGGTAAATGGAATGAACCTTCAATAGTGTTCGACAAATATTTGCCTTATCTTTGTTAGACTATTAAAACACATAGGAATGTATGCACTATAAGAGTCATGCTTTATAAAGACTTGACCGAGTTCTAGAACTTGATCTTTGGCCTAGCGATATTAAACACGGATACTATTCGAGTTCCATGTCAAACAACATACAGCCGAGCAAAGACCCGGACATATCCAACTTAAAATAGAAAATTGAATGATTTACATGTGCCAAATATCAGGGGAAAATTCACTAAAATGAAAAAGATATGAAGAAAATGCAGGGTTTCTTTTTGACAACCATGTGTATATATAAAGAGAATTCATGCTCTATTCCAAGGCTGTTTTATCTACGTGACTTATTTTGATGATAATTTACTTAGGACCTGGAATAACATGTTTCAGCAAACTGAAAAAGACTTATTTATTTGTTGTTTCTGTACATTTGTAACCCCCCCCCGTCCCCACCCACTCTGTGATACATGATGTTTAACATGAAAGATGCAAAGCCTGTGTTTCTTTATGAGCACATTGGCCAATGGGGAAAAAAGGTTGCCAAACTTATTGAGGGGAGCGTACTTGGTGATTAACTGTTTTAACCTTTAGAAATTCATAACATGGTCAATAGTAGCTCGATTTTTATGAAATAAAGCATATGGAGGGACAACCTGCAGACATTAGGGTTAATGTCCTGTAAGGGATTGATACAATAAACCACCATGCAATACAATCAAATGCATTACAATATAATACAATACAGTACAATACAATTTACGATACGATACGAAACGAAACGAAACAATACAAAACAATACAAATGGATACAATACAAGGCAATGCAATACAATACAATACAAGGCAATGCAATACAATACAGTGTATCATTGTGTCATTGTGCTTTAATTATATTTTTAAACTTCACACAGAGCCTTTAATACACAACTTTGGCAGATAATCTTAACGCAGCAGATAGCACGTGTGACCATTTGTTAATTTCTAACGAATACATGCATACGATAGTATCATACACGAAACGATGCCAAACGCTTAATATTTGAATTGAATGTTTCTGTATGTAGAAATGTAACACCTGAGCAATGTCATGCGAAATTAAACAGAAGACTTTCGAGACAAAATATATTAACGTTGCTGATATTGATAACACCAAAGAGGAGGATGATAGACACAATAATAATGATGATGTAAATGGATGTATAGTTCCGTTGACTGATCGTGCCAGTCCATTGGATAAAGCTAAAGGTGAAGATGATTATGTCAGTAAGGCATCTTCAGAGAAGAAAGTGTTTCGATATAAACTTATAAAGACGATCCTGTTAATAGTGACATGGATCGTAAACGTGAGTTTTGATCATTTTATTACTCTTATCGTTAAACAAAGAATATCTATATAAGAGAGACTTTCTTAGGTCAAGGCAACCTTTAAGGTCAAAAGCCAAGAGTAAATCAATGTACGCACGATGTAAATGAGAACGATCCTCGCACTGCGGAAAATCTCGAAATTGCGAGCAAAATCCAGATGAAAGCGTGACTAATTAAAAAAAAAAGAGGAGGTTTTGTTTTGTTTAATTTAATCATACGCTAGAAATAAGTTCGCAAAGTCAACAAGAGTGAAAAGAGAAAAGTCATCTATTTTTTGAATAAAGTAAATCCAACATGATATAACGTACGTAACGTATCCTAATATAAGGGCCTATTTACGATTATTGATAACGATACATTCAAATTCTGTTATTCTTCTTAAGCCTGCCCAAAATATTAACACTGCTTGTGTTTGTGCTGTAATCCGGGTTCATCTACAACAAACAAAACAAAACTTTGTTTTTAATCATAAAATCATCATTAGAGCTATTTTTAGAAAAAGCGATATTTTTAATACAATTGCATGGTTATGATAACCAGTTGTGCTGTCAACAAAATAGCACAAATAAATGCCGTTGATATCAACACGAGGGTCGAATTTGAATATATTCGTTAATGGTCCCATAAAAGTAACTTCAACCAGAGAGAATAACCTTAATTTCAGTGGACGAAACGAACGTATTTTTCAGTGAATTTTTCGTCATTTTCTGTTTGCAATACTTACATCATCACAGTCAATATAAATGAAATTGCGACCAAAGACCGCTCGCTCCATTTACTATTTTTATTAATACAAAGCTGTTTTCGGCTCACTTGTGAATATAGCATCGTTCATTTTGATGTCGGTAGATCGGGTATGTTTTGAAAGTTATTTTTCATTTTCGTCTAGTAAGCCCCACATTGTAACACCATTCTAACACATAAGCAGCCCATCAATTTATTGAATTTGATATTTTTTGTTTAAGTGCGTACGGAGAGGCGTGTGTAAACAATAGAGATCTTTAAACTCATTAACGAAAGTTCAATTCACGACTTTTCAGATGTTTGTAACTCAAAACTTATAGTATGTTTAAAAGTTAGTAATGTCGTAAACTAAATCAGCCTCGGGCTTCCATCCCCAAAATAAATCTATTCAGTTTCCTATCTGACATTTAATATTTGAAGTCACCCCTACGTTATAAATGGGGTCAAGAAAATGCTACACAGATCTCGATTTTATCATAAAAACGATTCTGTAGTAAATCCGTATGTTAAGAAGTTTTACTAATTTGTATGATAGTAGTTACCGAGATAATTATGAAATGTGGATATTTACTCGTACACATTATGGTAGAATATGCAGACATACACTCCCGCCCCTCCATAAGTTTGGCAACCTTGGCTCCCTCATTGAATTACGTGTTAAAGCATCTTTATGTTTGAATTCTTATTTACATAACGTGCGATGAAAATACTTATGATATTGATGGAAATATAACTTGGCTTCATTTCCAATGCCTCGGAATTTTGACTTTGAAGACCTATAACTTTTTTAAACCTGAAGAGAAGTATCAAGTTTTTGTTAAGTAAAGTAAGCAAGTTCAATTGACTACCTAACTTGTATTTTTTTCAAAAAGTTGGTTTGAAGAATATATACGTTGCCAAACGTATGGAGTGTACTACCTAGCTATTGGAGTGTACGACCTCTTTCAATAAGTATCGGTTATTACACTCATGAAGATCAGTAAAACATTCTACAGGGCGTATCAAAAAAACGCAACAAGTAGTTATCTCGTAAAATAACAAAACTAGTGATGACTACATCAATTTCATTCAATGTACCATAAAGCCACGTCTCTCCTCTTTGCAATGATATGTCATTCATTCGCATGTGGTGATGGTTGAGTGAGAAATCCTTCCATTTGCAAAGTGGGTCAAAATCGGCTCTGGGCCAAGTTTTAGATATTGAAAAAATCAGTGCAAGGGTTAAGTGCCAATGGAAGTTCCCCTGACTTGAATTCTTGTGACTTTTTCTTTTGGAGCTCTCTCAGGAGCATCTGTGCTCACGATTCCTCCACCAGATGTTGCAAAACCTCGAGAAAGAGTTGCCCATGGGCTGCTTTTCTCTGCTTTAACCCACAGATGACTCAGGGCTGAACCATGCATGACGTGGACAGAAGAGCGCATCTTTATGTGCAAGAAAGTGGTAGCAATTTGGAGGGGTATTGGATGTATTCTTGCAAGAGTATGAGTATGAACACTTTACTGTCTATACCACACCTGTCACACCTTCTTCCAATAGCCCCCTATGCCCGTTGTACTGACTTTTGCAATGTTTAAAACTTGGGTCCGAGCTGAATTTTGCCCCACTTTGCAAAATCAACGATTATTCGGTCAGCCATGACTCCCTGTGAATGAATGATATTCCATTGCAAGGAGGAGTAGTCCGGCTTTTTGGTACATTGAATGAAAAGGATGCAATCAGCATTGGTTTTATGTTTTCTTCCAATATTGCATCGGGCTCCGTACACTGACTTTTGCGATTTTTATAACTTGGCCCAAAGCTAATTTTGGCGCACTTTGCAAATGGAATGATTACTCGCCCAACCATGACCAAATATCAATGAATGATATATCATTGTAAAGAGGAGACATATGGCTTTACCGTGCATTGAATGAAATCAATGCTGTTATCACTGGTTTTGTGCTTTTCCGAGATAACGATCTGTTGCGTTTTGTTTGATACGCACTGTATACATACGGATCTAACTTAAAGGAACAATGGTGATAATGGAATTTTTCAGATAAGCCTTAATTAAGCTGTTTCCTCCTGTTCATCCTCCAATCGTTTATTCCTGCACACGTTTTCACTTGTTGAGCACTCGTCAACATTACCGTTTACTTATTATTGAGCGGTTTAACAGGGGTCCACAAAAAATAAAAAAAATATAAGATTTTGATATTCTTGACGTTTACAACGGATTATCTACTTATGAATCGGTTTTTGTGAAGATTAGCATGACCTATTGATTTAATCTGTTTAATTGAAAATAAGATCGTCTGTCTGATTATATTTTGCATCGATGTATCGCAAAAAGCTCGCGCACGCATTGTTACACATTTTGTGGCGTAATCCAGAGGATCCTCGCTTTTAACATGGTAGAATGTGACGTTTTTGAGAAAAATGTACACAAATGAAAATCCTTTCGTCGTCCACATTTACCTCTCTATCTCAAAACATTTTAGACGAATAACTCTGATATCATATATATATTGTTAATGGGCTAGGAGCATCATAAAACACGAATCAATTGATATTTTAGGTGAAATAAATATACGTGTTGCTGTGCTTGAAAATAGGCGAATGGCGTAAATTAGCCATATTTTGATGACTTTTGAAAACCTTTCGTCCTCCACTTTTCCATATACAACAGAAAACACATACTTCTGCGAAAAAAATCAACTATTTATTAATAAACTAGAGTTAAGGAGCAAAATAATCATGTATGATTTATTAAAAATTGATCTCGTATTTTTTGTTTAATGTACACCTGAAAAGTTGAAGGAACAAAAAAATGAGCAGAAAAGGTCGCTGTCAACAGATTCTATTTTTCAAACTCTATGACGTCACAATATGGGACGCTTACTAAAATTCATCCTTTGAAATAAAACTTCTATCTACCTTTATCAAGACGAAAAATAAGTATAATAGTCATATATTGTTTGAGTTATGAACGTTTAAAGACGAAAAATAATTCAAAATGTAACGTGTCAACAGGGAATATTTGCCAGATGTTTTGGTAAAAAACTCTTTTTTTAAAAAAGAACGCGCAAGAATTGTGAACGGAGTGTAGTTAATCTAAAAACTTCATCGAAACAGCTTTAAAATGATATACAACTTTAATTAGAATATTATTTTATAATCCGGGTAATCAAAGTTACATTCACGCGATACCCCTAAAAAACAAATGCGCCACCTTTTTGCGACACGTCATTCAAAGTGATGAAAAATAATGGTTCCATTTAGTTCACTTGCTTTTAATATCATCTTGTTTTTTGTTGATCCGCCAGCTGTTCTGATATGTTTAAATGATAAAACATATATTACTACATACATTTTCACCTGTTGAGGACCTGTCAACAATGCCGTTTATTTATTATTGAGGTAACAGGGGTCAACAAAAATATTAGATTTTGATATTTTTGAAGTTTACAACAGATTATCTACTCATTAATCGAGTTTCAGTTTAATTGAAACTAAGATTGTTTGTCTGACTATATTTTGCATTCAAAATGATGAAAAATAATGGTTCCATCTAGTTCACTTTTTTTAACAGCATCTTGTTTTTCGTTGATCCACAAATTGTTAAATGATATGTTTAAATGATAAAACATATATTCCTACATACGTTTTCACCTGTCGAGGACCTGTCAATATTACCGTTTACTTATCATTGAGGGGTTTAACAGAGGTCTATAATAATAAAAAATATTAGATATTGACACTTTTGAAGTTTACAACGAATTATCTACTTATGAATCGGCTTTTGCATTTAAATTATAATCTAAGATGAATTAAGAATCTATTCCCACTATTTATAAAATGAGATTTTAACCTCAATAAAGCATATGATATGATGTGGGGTGAAAGGATATATGATTTTTGTGATACAGGCAACCTCTGCAAGCACATAACTTTAGTAATTGATTATTTTATTTAGTAGAAAATAGACTATCCCATCATGAGGCAATGCTAGAACCCAAACGTTCTATTGAAATTAATTTTACCGCCTCACCCAATATTTTTTTCTCGAAAAGGTATTCTGCCATATCCAGCTCCTGGTCATCCAGTATTTGTTTAATATTGCCCACAGAAATTATGTTATTAGTATTACCACCGTTAATGCCAAGGACTGAAATAGCAAAAATTATATGCTTATTATACGATATCTCATTTCCCGGTGAAAATTACCGGGCGTTAATGCATTTTTGGCCCTCCACTATGGCCCGCCACTATGCCGTCATATATTGCTCAGATCGATAAAGTAACGTAAATGCCTTCTAAACTAGCACGATTACCCATTCCCGGCAAGGTGGTTTTAATAGTAATTGATCTGAGAACTATCCACAAAAATATTCATATTTTGAATTAGACTTGAATTAAATCTTCAATAAAAATCTGAACCATTTTAAGATATTCGAAATTCAGAAAGTGCAAATGATTCAATTATATCTATTTAAACCAATTTAAATTGTTAGGATGTGATAATAAGCTCAGAAAGTAAACATTTGATTAGTTATACCAATCATTGTGATTTTAGAGCCCAAATGTTATCTCATTTTACAGTTTTAATTGTATAAATCGTCTTGCTGTCAACCTATTTATAATAGTCTACACTTATTTAGTGCCTGTTTATGATGATACCGACATTATTGTAATATTGAAATCTTATAAGTAATGAAGATCCCCAAGTGGAGGTCAGAACTATCCGGAAAAATATTTAATTTTCATAAAATAGACCCCTGCTGAAATCTTTCATAAATGAAGTTCTGTAACCTTGTATGGTTCACAAAAATTTATAAATGGTCAATGATATAATCCTAACTAACAAAAGCAAATCAAAAACATAAGGCTGTTGCGATAAGCTTAAAAAAAGTATACAGTGTTTGATGAGTTATACCCCCTACTGTGAACTTTGATTCCATTTTGATCTAATTCTTCAGTTGAAATTTTACATTATGCTTTCGATATATAATAATTCATACTTTTTGTACTTGTTTATTATCTATTCACAAGAAATCTTTTAAAACGATTATTTCTTTAAAAAATGGACCCCTGCTTAAATCTCAAATAAATGATAAACGGTAATGTTGTGTGGTCCTCAACAAGCAATACCGTATTCAGTGATGTTAAATCTATCAATATAATCTATAAAAATGATTGGAACTTGAACAGGAGGTAATTTTAAGATTATTGTCAATTCCTTTATCACAACAACGCATTGAGGGAAAGTGTGGCGAATGAAGGTTTTCGAATTCTCTGGCCATCCTTAGTTCATGACCTGAAGTATTTAGTTCCACTCTGATGTTCATCTAAGTCAACGAGTAAATGTTTATATTTATGTTTTATTTATTTTTAATGACACACAACAATACTTTATATGAATGTGTTACCCTTTGATAAGTCTATATTCCCAATATAATGTTTACAATAAAAGTTGTGAATAACGCAGATGCGAGTATGTAGTTACCAGTTTCACCACCAGGTGGCTCGTTCGGGTCAGATAGCATGGCGGGTATAGTAGAAAGTTCCCTTTAACTTAAATTACATCTGTTTTAGTGGTTCAATTTTCATATAACCCTTATGTATCTAATAGTTATGAAAATCAAAATATGTCCAGGAAATGAAAATGTTATCTGACCAATACAAGAAAAGATATTTCACTTTTTGTGATTTTGTAACATGGGCTCTATGGAGAATCAACCCGAACTAGAACTCACACTTTCAAAAATAATTAAATTCTCAAACTTGATAAACAATTTTCGAAACCATATTTCTAGGTGTACTTTTACATGTAGATTTCAAATATAACATCGCTTTGACTGAATTTTGAATATTTAATGGCGTAAATCAAGATTTTTTTCTACTCGCATCTAGTCTATTGTCACACCTGTTAAGTGCAGTTGGGGGCCACCTGCCTATCTGGTATTCAGCTATATATGATATATGAATGTAAACGTTGGCTTGTCAGACTGAATGACTAAGTTATACATTCAAAAGTCGTGGGAAGTTTTCAAATCGAAGAGGCAAACTATAAAGGGTACAGCAAGCCACAAAGGAGATAAACCCTGTCAAATCAAAAAATCATATCAATATTCGACCAGTTTCATCAAGAGTCTAAAATAGTGAAGGTCAAGCAAATGTCACATCTCCTGAAAACTTGTGGATGATTTCTAAAAAAAATTGATCAATTTGAAGCAAGTTTAAATTTGATATTGAAAATTTTCGAATTTTTCGATTTTTCCGTTTTGGTCTTATATCTCAAAAGCGATGCAAAATTTTATGAAATAGTTAGTCCCTTATATGAGTAGAACCAATTCAGAGGAATGTAATAAGGTCTGAGGTATAGGTCAAATCGCAAATCTAAGGTCAGATTTCACCTCCTGAGAACTTGTAGAAGAAACCTTTGTCAAACTGAAGCAATTTGAAAATGAATTGAGCAATTTGTAGAAAATGCTTAATCTAGAATAGACAAAACATGTTTTCTCCCAATACTAAATTTTTAGTTCAGTCTTGCCTTTTTAATGCTTTAACCCTTTTTATACCATGTGTTGAATTTAACTTTCTCATATTTCGATGACAGCCTGCATCCTTACTGCTACATTGTTGATTATATTTCATCATGTTTCTGGTGTACGTAATGTTTTGAATTTCTCTTCGGATGTTGGCCTCAAGTTCTTCTAGATCTCTTGGCTTGGGCTTAGCATAGATATGGTTCTTCAAGTTACCCCAGAGAAAAAAGTCTGGGGTGTAAAATCTGTTGAACAGGGAGGCCCTCGCAATGTCTTTATTCAGAGAGATCAGACGTTGAAGAAACTGTTTTCATGGGAATTCTTGTATGACCCTTGCTGAATGTGGAGGGGCTCAATCTTCTCAAGACTTCAGTGTTCTCATTTGGATATACCAATCAGTCTCCGTAACTCTGAAAAGTGAAACTCCATTATTGAATCATTTAACGAAAATTGACCTGGTTCTCTGTTATTGTCCTCCCATCTTCATCCGCGAATTTCTTTCTCTGAGGCTATTTGGATGAGAATTTAAAGCTAATCCCAAGCCAAAAGACTAAGAACAACTTAAGGCCAATCTCCAAAGAGAAATTCAAAACATTCCACCAGAAACATTATCAAATGTGATGAACAATGTTGCATAAGGATGCAGACTGTCATCGAAATATGAAATAAAAGTAAAAGGTTAATACATCAAAAAGGGGAGTCTGAACTAAAAACTGTGCATTTTGGAGAAAACTTGACCAACATGACCATGCAAAAAGTCTGAAATTGACTGGTTAAGCTGTGCTGTTAATATATTTCTACTTTCGGGTACATTTTTGAGACATCCTGTAGACCTTTACTCGTTCATGGTTGAACGAATTTTTTTATCCATTAACATACATGTATATTTTACAGGGTTTGGTATTAACGATTAAATATCCGACATTTCCTGATCTTTGCGAGAGGACTGGCAGTAGTGTCGAAGAGTTGACCAGAGCTACAGCGGTGAGGCATATTGGGTATATAATCGGGTGTTTAGTAGGAGGTGAGTCAAAGTACAATAATGGATATTGGGTATATAATCGGGTGTTTAGTAGGAGGTGAGTCAAGGTACGAATATGGATATTGGATATATAATCGGGTGTTTAGTAGGAGGTGAGTCAAGGTACAATTATGGATATTGGATATATAATCGGGTGTTTAGTAGGAGGTAAGTCGAGGTGCGATTATGGATATTGGGTATATAATCGGGTGTTTAGTAGGAGGTGAGTCAAGGTACGATTATGGATATTGGGTATATAATCGGGTGTTTAGTAGGAGGTGAGTCAAGGTACGATTATGGATATTGGATATTATATAATCGGGTGTTTAGTAGGAGGTGAGTCAAGGTACGATTATGGATATTGGGTATATAATCGGGTGTTTAGTAGGAGGTGAGTCAAGGTACGATTATGGATATTGGATATATAATCGGGTGTTTAGTAGGAGGTGAGTCAAGGTACGATTATGGATATTGGATATATAATCGGGTGTTTAGTAGGAGGTGAGTCAAGGTACGATTGTGGATATTGGGTATATAATCGGGTGTTTAGTAGGAGGTGAGTCAAGGTACGATTATGGATATTGGATATATAATCGGGTGTTTAGTAGGAGGTGAGTCAAGGTACGATTGTGGATATTGGGTATATAATCGGGTGTTTAGTTGGAGGTTAGTCAAGGTACGATTATGGATATTGAGTATATAATCGGGTGTTTAGTAGGAGGTGAGTCAAGGTACGATTATGGATATTGGGTATATAATTGGGTGTTTAGTAGGAGGTGAGTCAAGGTACGATAATGGATATTGGGTATATAATCGGGTGTTTAGTAGGAGGTGAGTCAAGGTACGATAATGGATATTGGGTATATAATTGGGTGTTTAGTAGGAGGTGAGTCAAGGTACGATTATGGATATTGGATATATAATCGGGTGTTTAGTAGGAGGTGAGTCAAGGTACGATTATGGATATTAGGTATATAATCGGGTGTTTAGTAGGAGGTGAGTCAAGGTACGATTATGGATATTGGGTATATAATCGGGTGTTTAGTAGGAGATGAGTCAAGGTACGATTATGGATATTGGATATATAATCGGGTGTTTAGTAGGAGGTGAGTCAAAGTACAATTATGGATATTGGGTATATAATCGGGTGTTTAGTAGGAGGTGAGTCAAGGTACGATTATGGATATTGGGTATATAATCGGGTGTTTAGTAGGAGGTGAGTCAAGGTACGATTATGGATATTGGGTATATAATCGGGTGTTTAGTAGAAGGTGAGTCAAGGTACGATTATGGATATTGGATATATAATCGGGTGTTTAGTAGGAGGTGAGTCAAGGTACGATTATGGATATTGGGTATATAATCGGGTGTTTAGTAGGAGGTGAGTCAAGGTACGATTATGGATATTGGGTATATAATCGGGTGTTTAGTAGGAGGTGAGTCAAGGTACGATTATTGATATTGGATATATAATCGGGTGTTTAGTAGGAGGTGAGTCAAGGTACGATTATGGATATTGGGTATATAATCGGGTGTTTAGTAGGAGGTGAGTCAAGGTACGATTATGGATATTGGATATATAATCGGGTGTTTAGTAGGAGGTGAGTCAAGGTACGATTATGGATATTGGGTATATAATCGGGTGTTTAGTAGGAGGTGAGTCAAGGTACGATTATGGATATTGGATATATAATCGGGTGTTTAGTAGGAGGTGAGTCAAAGTACAATTATGGATATTGGATATATAATCGGGTGTTTAGTAGAAGGTGAGTCAAGGTACGATTATGGATATTGGATATATAATCGGGTGTTTAGTAGGAGGTGAGTCAAGGTACGATTATGGATATTGGATATATAATTGGGTGTTTAGTAGGAGGTGAGTCAAGGTACGATTATGGATATTGGATATATAATCGGGTGTTTAGTAGGAGGTGAGTCAAGGTACGATTATGGATATTGGATATATAATCGGGTGTTTAGTAGGAGGTGAGTCAAGGTACGATTATGGATATTGGGTATATAATCGGGTGTTTAGTAGGAGGTGAGTCAAGGTACGATTATGGATATTGGATATATAATCGGGTGTTTAGTAGGAGGTGAGTCAAAGTACAATTATGGATATTGGATATATAATCGGGTGTTTAGTTGGAGGTGAGTCAAGGTACGATTATGGATATTGGATATATAATCGGGTGTTTAGTAGGAGGTGAGTCAAAGTACAATTATGGATATTGGGTATATAATCGGGTGTTTAGTAGGAGGTGAGTCCAGGTACGATTATGGATATTGGGTATATAATCGGGTGTTTAGTAGGAGGTGAGTCAAAGTACAATTATGGATATTGGGTATATAATCGGGTGTTTAGTAGGAGGTGAGTCAAGGTACGATTATGCAGAACGGATTTACGCCCATGCTTATTGTCTAGCTATTGTTGAAGAGCAGTTACATTATTATATATATGTTAATGTAACCTTATATATTTTTTTATATTTTTTAAAAAGTTTTAGTTTTATTTCCTCAATTACACATAAAGCTACATATATTGAGATGAACAGAGCGCCAACCATTAGTTCTGGTTTAAGTATAGCTTTCTCCTTTCTGAATACTGTCGCTTTACAAAAAAATATTTATTATATTGAGAGTTTTTCGTTAAATCTGAACGGATATAGTTGTACCTGAACCGTCGAGAGAACGTTTGTCATGCCCTATCCAAATTAATACATATCGTCCACACTTTGAGTCTATCATGGGGAACATTCATAAGTTTTCGATTTTTCTACAGGTATTCTATTCGATCGATTCCGGAAAATTTGGGATCTCCAGTTATCTTCAGGATTTTTGCTGTTGGCCGTTTCTGTTGCTTTTAAACCTTGGTGTAGAGGCATCACAGCGCTCGCATTTCTTTACTGGCTGGAAGGTGCGGCTCATGGTATATTTGCAATAGGTAAATAATACAATTCAAAATATCAATGATTATAGCCAATACATGGTGTAAAAGGGTAGGAGGTCCTGTTAACTTATGGCCCTACTCTCCATTGATTTATATGGTGACCTTTTTCCCTTAGTATCTTATACATAATCAGGGCCAGTAAGGGCCTTTAGAAGGAGGGACCATGATCTTGGGGAACCATAGTTTCTTTCACAATGGAACCGTTCACCTTTAAGGAGCGCCAAAGAGAAGGGAAGCCCCCAGAGTTCAATGATGACCATAACTTAAATAGAAATATTGATGACCATAATCGCTGGTATTCTAAACAAAATGGCCGATTCAAATCTTTGAAAAAATGTTTCGAATGCTAGTTATATAAAGGCAATATCGGCCGTATTTACCAAGATTTCACGTGCAGGTATAGAAAAATATTAGAAATGTGTTTACATCAATTACTTACATATCACATTGACGTGTGTGGTATTCAGAAACGAGATGGTGAAAATTCGGTCAAACGAAAGTGGTTAACAAAATAGATAATTTTGAGGTAAGCTCTGGGGGTTTCCTTCCTCTTAAAGCGCTCGTTTCCGAACACACAAAAAAGTTCATCGATTCACAGTTTTCAGAAACATGTTTAATATGTAAAACAAAAATCCTGATACATCTTGAAGAACCTAATAAAGAAACAATGGTACATAATAAGCATGCGATACGACGTCATTGTTGTAGCAGCAACGTTTGTAAACCAAACAGTTAGATGTAATGTATGTCGATGAATTTGTTTTTTCAGCTGGTAATGGAATAATGATAGCCATATGGGGAGGAAATACACCGGCCCCACTCCTGGCCATGCACTTTGGGAGTAGGATCGGGTCTTTAGTGGCGCCTGTTCTGGCGTACCCTTTCCTCAGCTCTAGCCGTGGGGAAGCTATTTACACAAATGCATCCGTATTTAACAACGGGACTGAAATCAAATTCACATCTAACATCGAGGTACCATACGTTATAAGTGGAGGACTTGGCTTATTGGCATCACTTGGATATTTGGGGGTGTATCTAGCACCACGGCCCCGAGGACTAGTGTTAACCAATATACCTAAAGGAAGGAATTTAAAGGAATTGTTACATCCGGGTTCTTTCACAAATGGGAATGCGAGATACGGTGTAACTTTAATGACGTGTATGTTCTTGTACTTCTCAATTAACGGGGCATGTAGTTCACATTTTCAATTACTACAAGCTTCAATAGCCACTGGGGCATTGAATGCAACAAAACAGGAGGCTTCACTCATGCAGTTTGCAGCAAGGGGATCTGCGATTTTAGGAAATTTCATAATAATTCCAGTCTCAAAGTTTGTTCCAATGCCGTTTATCGTATTCGTGATATGCCATGCTATCGCTATCATCAACTTCATTGCAGTTGCCATGGCGTTAAAGAGTCGTATGAACTTTGCTGTTCTCGGCGGTGTCTTCGATTTCTTCTATGCCTCAATATGGGCGTCTGGAATGGCATGGCCGGAGAGGTACATGGAAGTAACGGGTTCAGTGATTATGATATGTAACATAGGGAGTGGCGTGGGAGGTGCAATAATAGAATGGGGTAGTGGTTATGTACTGCAGTATCATGGGGCGCAGGCAGTGATGTGGCTCTGTGCAGCGTTTGCCATTTCCTTTTGTGTGCTGATATACGTCACACAATGCGTGATGTCTTACCATGGACCAAAGAAAAGACATCTTGTCCCTTTATGAACATCGATTGAAATTATTGAAAGGAAGGGCTTGTCAATGTTTTGCTCTACAATTCAATTTGTGTATCAAAACAGTACAAGGGTTAAAATATATGATACTCAAATATATGATACTCAAATATAAAAAAAATGCGGTCCAAAGAAATATATATATTCCAAATGATCCGAGTCCAATTTTCATGCACTTATTATCATGTTAATTATATCAAGGAAAAATATACAAAATATATTGATACTGTTGTGTTATATGTTATGTAATCATATTTATTGTATCTCCATCGGCACAGAGAAACGTTGTATCTAAAGATAGATGTCGCACTTGTATAGGTTTAGATAAATTGCGGATTAAAATACACACGTGAATTTCCCAACTACTTATCAGTTAGTTTTGTATGTTAATACATACAAGATACATGCTTTTTGACATTTGCATTTTCATGTTTGGCATTGGCATTTTTACGATACGATGTATTGCATATTGGCGCTTATAGTTGGCTCAAGGGTTAATTTAATACATGTATGTGTACCTAACAAAACGGAACAACAACTGTACAACTGGGACTTAATTAATATGGCCTTTAGTACACCATTGAACATAAGTTCTGGGCCAATATAAGGATGGCAGTACCATCAGAATCCAAAATCATGCCATCTTTATTTAAGGATTATTTCAATCTACCTTAGCCTATGCTATTGAATAAACAGGGTGAGTTTTCTCAGACCAAGGTACACTTCTCTGCACCGTTATGGGGTTATTTTACTCTATAGCATTGCAATCCGTTCCCGTCATTACTACGTGATATGTAACAAAAAAAAATAAACAGGGGGATGTAATTGAAGTGGCGATTGTGTTTTCGGCTTATCCGTGTCACCCTGCTTCGGAATTGCCCACATTTAGTCTATGTCATAGCTCAAGGTCACGTAGATGAGGGAGCACCATTATGCTGTGTAGAACACAACCTAAACAAAGGCGAACAATTTTCGTTTTTGCAACTGTTTTAAACGTTTTGTGACGAAAATTCACTGAACTTTCAAAAATATGTCATTTTATCACTGTGTGACATTCGCCAAAAAAAACATCAATGAGAACAATATAGGATACGTTGAAAAATTGCCCCCTCTAACCGACAATGCCTCTTGAAAGATAACAGAAAGTATTTACAGGAGTTGTATTTTATTCACCGAATATTTTAAATACAATCGTTACATGTTTTTTCGAAAATGCTAGCCTTGCATATTGTTTTAATTGCATTCAAATTAGCCAACAAACTTATCTATGTTAATATCACTTCTAGTTTATAAAAGTATATACCGCTTAGATTCCCTCTAAAAATATATAGCAAATACATTCGTTTTATGAATCATATAAAATGTCATGTTCTGGTTATTGGTTTAACCATTGTAGGATCCACTGCAATCTCTAATAAATCAGAATTGGTTTTACCAGTTTTAGTATGATAGTATCTAGATAGTTCTTAAACGAGAGGTACTTGCGTTAGCGGGATTTTCAACCGCCCCCTATCCAGTCCATTCGGGATATTTGGTTAACAGTTATGAACGAATAGACGAGGAATATATTTTTCAAATTGGCTCCTTCTAGCCTAAATGCTGCTGGTCGTGAGCAGCGTTGTCTGAACCGACTGTTCCCCTGTCTAGCCCGATCAAGAGATTTCCACCGTCTTGTACCACCATCGACCCATTCATCATACGTGCATCATCGGACGCTAAAAACACGGCAACTTTCGCACAGTCCTCACTCGTCCCAGTCTTCTTAATAGGCACTGTCTTTGCAATATCTGAATATATTTTTGTAACCTCGTTTTGGCTAAGACCAACCCTCTTCATTAAATCAGTCTCAAGATGTCCAGGGTTTAACGAGTTGACGCGGACGCCTTTAGCGGCGAACTCAAGGGCGGCACATTGGGTGAACATATTCATGGCGGATTTCATGATATTGTAAACCGGAGCCATGCTGGCTGGTTTGAATCCGTACATACTTGAAATGTTAACAATATTTCCCTGGGTCTTGACGAGCTCTGGGAAACATAGTTGCGAAAGGTAGATTGGAGCACGTAATAAAATCTTTACCTTCTCATCAAACACGTCCATGGAAACCGTTTCTAAATCATGAAAAACCAGGATTCCTGCATTGTTGACGAGAACGTCGATTTTACCGAAAGTTTTAACGGCTGTGCCCTTAATCTTCTTAATGATGTCGTCATTTGCGATGTCTCCTTGGACGAATGGAAACTTTGCGTCTTTTCTTCCGACTGCTTTACATTCTTCGACCGTTCTATTGATTTTCTCTAAGTCACGTCCACATACTAGAACATTTCCCCCTTCTTTCGCAAACAGTATAGCCGTGGCTTTTCCTATGCCTGCGCTCGAGCCAGTTACAATCACGGCTTTTCCTTCAAACCTCATAGTTATTGACTTTTCTAATTAGCCTACGCCGATCTTGCGGAGCCGCCTCTGTATTACAAAAATCAGCCGATTAAAATGATGGAAAAATAGAACAGTATATAACGCCTTTTATGCTCCAAAGCTTACAAATATTTCAAAGGCCGGGTCGGTTTATTATTTTCTATTATACACTCCTTTTCAATAAACCATTGCGTAGTGTTGTTACACAAACAGGTTAAAATTTATGATGTCATACTTTTCAGACAGCCATGGTTGTAAACACAATAAGGGAGTTGTGATATAGCCAGGTTGTATCCAGTTCAAAATTACGGATCGGCTCGATCCGCTCTACACAAGCTATAGGATGGGACAATCCAACAACTTTGAATCGGATACTGTCCAACGATCATTTTGGTGTGCGATATGCATGCCATTCTTGGATAATGTATTGTGTCGAATTTTGCTTTCTCGGTAGTTCCATTTCTTTATAAACTATGGAATTTGAAGAACAATCATTTATTTTGTTAATTTATGCATGACCATGTACATGTCATTTTTCAAATTTGGAGTCAGTTGACTCATTCATTGAGTTGAATGGCTCATGTATGAACCATGTAGATATGTTTTTGGATTAGGATGTTACAACCTGTTTGTGAATGTATTTGTGTGCCAGACAGAAGACGAAAGGTCAACAGGATGACATCATTATTGCTCATAAATATTACCTAGAATGCATCACCAAATGAGATAAACGAAGCGATTTAGCCAATCAGAGGGTGTCCCGCCGCATATAATTAACGAAGATACGGTGATCAAGAGTTAACAGTGCAAATTGGCTCGGTCGTGTTTTTCAAACTTTTTAGTCGTGTTTTGTAAGAACATGGGATGCGACATTCGTTAGAATGGAGCAAAAATATAAGAATATTCTATATTTAACAAACTTACATATCTACCTAAGATGTTCTTCTTCATACCCACGAATGTATTTTGGGGACGTCTAAAGAGTCTGAAAAAACACGACAGGGCCACTTTGCACTGTTAACTCTTGGTCACCATAGAAGAGAGATAAGACAGAATTTGGTCTGATGTGCGCAGTCCAGCTTATTGCGTCGAAGTGTGAAGAACTGTACAGTGATTTTAGAGATGCTAGCGCAGGAAGGTGATGGAACAAAGTTTTTAATAGTAACAACCCAGCAAATTCATATTAATTCATAACATAATTTCTCTTATTATTTGGTGTGCTGTCACTGTATTCACTGCGTCAAATGTGAAGTTCCAAGAAATTTCTAGACGTGCAAAGCTAGTCCACAAACTCCGCGTATCTAGAGATTCAAAGACGTGTCAAGAGGTGCAAAGACCTCGCGTGTACAGAGCGTGTCAAGAGTTTTGATATCTCTTTGCACTGCCTTATCGAAACAAACAGACAAACAAACAGACCGGCCATTTGTTGTTATGCACTATAGTCGCGCTTAATTATACTTTACTAGTATTGGGATATATATAACAGTCATTTTTATTTCATGTAAATAATAATTTGTGTTTTTTAAATCATTATCAAAATTAAATTAATTTAAAAGTATGTCTGTGCGCGTAAGTGTAGTAAATAGCTTAGTCGAAATGAGTACAGTCGAAATGTTGAGGCATGCGCAGACCTCTATTTAGTGATATTTTCATTTCAAATATGGCGGCCAATCCGATGTCTGGCGACCCTTACAAAGAATCTAGGCAGTTTGCATTTTTACCTCCTGTGAAATAACAAGTGGAATTTAGTAGTTGTTTTGTGTTTTATTATCATTCTGCATCGTAATTCTATGTGATGTGGTGTTGAAATGTCAGCAGAAATGCATATCCATACGATAATCGAGTGAATCAGATAACAGATTTTTCGAAAACCCGTCTCGTGCTAAGCGTGTAAAAACTTGTATTAACATGCTCAAAAGTGCCAATGTGCACATCAATGTCAAGCTAAATCAATGTTGTGTCTAAAACAGGTACCCGATCTACTCAAAACAGCTTGTCATTCACGTATACACGCTTAGCAAACACGGCGAAATGACCTCAATCTTGGAATTTCGTTCAAGAGCTAGTAATGTTTGCTCCGGTCTTCGTCATAATTGTTCAACAGACTTCACGCATGCGCAGGAGAAAAACCATCAACCAATAAGGTTTATAAATCAATTTTGCGCATGCGTCTTACAACGGTAAAGAAATTGGTATTTATAAACGAACCAGTTTGAGATAACCCGATATCAGTCGGAGAAGTCTGACGATCTACGAAACTCACTTCAAAAAATCAAATGCGGACTGACGGCGTATTCTACTATGTTTGGATCTAAGATTTTCAGTATAGATAAAGTCTTTTATGATCTTTCGAATGAGGTAAGTCTCTAGTTCGAAAGACAATCGTATCAACTTGAACAAAAGTTGAGTTTTGACGAAAAAATTTAACATGCGCAGAAGTCCCATTTTCGTTGTACCATATTGACTGAGTAGACGTGTGCAGGTGGAGATCGGCTACATATTTTGCTGAATATGACATTTTTACAGGATCACGATATATAAATCAAATGAAAACACGAAATGTGTTTACCTTTAGGTTTATCCACGCTTATTTCGAGTGATTCTAACTTGGACGCATATTCCTCTTTTAGAACAGTTTGAATAATTAACAAAGTCCACTTTGAACCGGTGTAAAGGGTAAGAGGTCCTATCAAATTATGGTCCTACTTTCCATTGATTTATATGGTGACCTAAATACAACTCTTTCCCTTATTATCGTATCCACAATCAGGGCCAGAAAGGGCCTTT